TCCGGCCATGATGAAGATAATGCTCCACATACACAAAGAGTTGTTAGTATTATTATTATTATTATTATTAATGGATTTATTCAATATTATATTTTGGTACAATATAGAGTTCTCAGTACAATGAAGATGTTAAAGATCAATTCTACAGTAGGCTGCAGTCAATCATCGAGAAGTGCCCAACAAAGGACCTGACCATTCTGATGGGAGATTTCAATGCCAAGGTTGGAATGGACAACACCCGATATGAAGACATCATGGGACGACATGGACTGGGAGAAGGAATGAAAATGGTGAGAGATTTGCAAACCTATGTGCAAGATACTTCGAATCCGTTGGCCGGACACTATTAGCAACAACGTACTGTGGGAGAGAACAAACCAGATCCCAGCGGAGGAAAGAATCAGGAAAAAGCGCTGGAAGTGGATAGGACACACATTGAGGAAAGCACCCAACTGCGTCACAAGGCAAGCCCTCACATGGAGTCCTCAAGGCCAAAGGAAAAGAGGAAGATCAAAGAACACATTACGCTGGGAAATGGAGATAGACATGAGAAGAACGAACAAAAATTGGATGGAATTAGAAAAGAAGGCCCAGGACAGAGTGGGTTGGAGAATGCTGGTCTGCGGCCTATGCTCCATTGGGAGTAACAGGCGTAAGTAAGTAAGTAAGTAACCTTCCCCTTCGTGTTGGGATAACTTCGATTTATGTTAAATGTAAAAATTGTGTTTGAATAATCTCAGGGATTCAAATTAAAATAATCCTATCGATTTGTCCGTCATACCAATCCGAAATGTTCCATTGAGGAATACGATCTAAATCAACATTATCAAAGAAAATATGTGGTTCAAAAGAAAAAATCATACGAAAACATTGTCCAATCACGTTCGTCTTGTTTACAGTGAGGTCAAGGGACGATTTGATGTGGAACATTGTCCACCATTTAAAGAATGTGTGTGTGTGTGTGTGTGTTCATGTATCTGTATGTTATTGTTACTAGAAAACACTGAGTAAGTGATGTCTTTGTCTATGTTCAAGGCCAACTGATTGTTTCTGTTTATTATAAATGTGAAAGCACATATAACTAACATCAACCATTCCAAGTATCCATAGTTTCAAATGATTAACATATTAAATTGTAATGGTAGAATTAAATTAGATTAATATGAATCATAAATGAATCAAGAACATAGAAGACTAAATACGCATCGATTGCTATCGGTATCAATCTCCAGGTAGTACATGTTAAAGATCCTGTTCTTATTTTTTATTTTATTCTAATCCATAATTACCATGACAAAACTACTGTATTCCATATATTAGTCTTTGTTTATAAGCAATAGATGAAATGTCGGCATTATTTAACTTTCAATCGATGAAATTACTTCAATTACGTATTTTTACATCTTGTAAACACATAAAGGATTTAATTGGTACTTAACCACTAGTTTTTTTGTTCTTTACTTAATTCATATCATTTTCAATATGATGTGATCTTTGATAAATATGTGATTCGATCTGTTATTACATCTCCTATACTATATTATCTTTTCTGATCAATGTAAGTATAAAATTATTCAAGTTAACATGATTCATTAGCAATTTTGATATGAACTCTTTATTTTCTTATTAAGAAATCTTAATTTATATGTTGTAATTATAACAAAATGACTAGTGACTGGCTTCAATAAGTATTTTGTGAAGTCCTGATGAGAAGCAGTGACCAGTGGAGTTCAACTATGTCAGTGGTGAGATAATAACTCACTGAATACAATTGTGGATGTGTCGCTCAATTTCATGGATTAGTTGAAATTATACATTAACACCATTGGATGTCGGCTCAGTGGTCTGGAGGATAATTGTTCGTGTGAGTGATCGACAGAGCCTAGGTTCGATATCCCGCGAGGCCGGATCGTGGATGCGTAGTGGTGAGGAGTCCCACAATAAGATGAAACGACCGTCCAGTGCTTCCAGGTTTTCCATGGTGGTCTAACTTCAATTGACTCATGATCTCAGCGATTGGAATTATAAAATTATTTGTTGTCTTGACTACATGTTTGTTTAGTCACACTGAAATATGTTCACGAGCACGGAAATGTAAATTCTCAGAACTTCGATCAAGATGACTGGTTTCACAGCAGTAGTCGAATTGATCAATACAAAATGAGATGACTATTCTAGACGATTGGACTTTTAACCTCGACGTAGTCATTTGTCATGTGAAGTAGACTAGTTTTAATTTTCCGGTGTTAGATGCTCTTCTGATTGTTTGACGTGATCTCTGGATTATTATATCACTGAGTATATCAGCTGGGAATTGTAGGGGAAATGAATACAGCTCATTGTGTATTAGTCATATAAAGTATTACTTTAATATTCACTGGTGACGTAAATTCGCACTGATTTCTGGATTAGTATTTCACTGTGTGCATCACCTCTGAACTGTTGACAAATGAAAAGGAACTTCCTACTAACTGTTTGTACTTCGTCTAAGATTCGTGGATGAATTTTTGTTTGTACACTTCCCGGGGTACCTGTTTTCCTGAGCAGTATATGCAAATCGTTTGGTTCTTCCTCAAGTACATTCTTATTCAATAACTAATAGTTTTTATTTGGTTTCCAGTGTACTAAAGGCGTACAAAGCTAACGAAATGTGTTCATTTGTATGTACAGGTACTTTTCATGTTTAAATTCCTTCATATTGACCCATCGACACTTTCTGTTAACAGAACATCGAAAAAGGTTATTCTATTTCAGGTGTAAACTTAATTGCTATGTGTACTTCATTTTCAATTTCTTCAAAACCTCTAGTTGTAATGTGCTATCTTTAAAGTGGAACAACATGTCGTCCATATATCGAAAACGAAATGGGAATTTCTGAATAAACTGATGAAATAGACTGTGTCCTAGTTTAGCTAGGAAAGTGCCAGCTTGTATGAGACCTAATAACGAACCTGCTACAACTCCTTTCATTGGTGCATTGATTTCGCCGTCAAATCTGATATTCAAATTCACGGTTCTTTGATTACTATTTGGTTATACATATAAGGTAGATTTCCGCTAGCAATGAAATCCATGTCAGGCGATTCACTCAATCTGGGACTTGTCATTTGCATTTATGCATATTCAAATGTTTGTGTTCACATAGAGATTCTAAGTTAACACATTTCGAAACATACAATAACAGGTAACCCACGAAGCTACTGAGACCGGATAACCATTCACTTATTATTCTAATAACGATATAAAATATTTGATCAATTTAATAAATCATATTCACACGTCTCCAATATCTATATCTCTAATTGACAATTATTAGACAATAGTTTTCAACATCGTAATCGGTTACCAGATACTGAATTAATTTATTGAGAGAGTAGCCTCTTGAGTGATATCAACTAGGTGTTTTAAGAAATATCCCACCATGTGTATAATTCACAAATGCACCTGCATCCCTTTTAGGAGTACTGCTGGTCGCAAGCCCAGATGAAGGAAGAGGGTTGAACACACAGTCAGAAACCATATCCCATAGATAACAACCATGTTAAAAAATTGCCAACCAGATTAAACAAATTAAACCATTTAAACTCTGCCCTGGGATTTGAAGGAAGAGTTATGATGCCTAAGGATGAAAATCGAGATCCTTTGGTAGTCTTGAGGTCGTTAACCATTCTAACAACCAGAGCAACAATTAATATAGGTACATGGAGTATCTGGACAATGTGGGGAACTGGGAGAACCAGTCAAATAACTGCGGAAATGAGGAGATACGACTTGGCAGTGCTCGGAATCGAACCGATTAGACCCAAGCTGGACAGCAAGGATTAGGTACAGGAGAGATGCTGCTGTACTCTTGTCTTGAAGAGGAAAATGCTCCGCACATACAGGGAGCTACACTAATGCTGCCCAATGAAGTACAAATTGCATTAATAGAGTGGGAAGTAAGAAAGTAAGTAAGTAGGCAAGATCCTCAAGTACAACACATAGAACACTAACCAACCCAATGACACATGTTGGTTAAACGCTAGAAGAGGAGGAAACGTTCAATTACCTGGACAGCATCATCGATAAACAAGGAGAATCTGATGCAGACATAAAGGCGAGGATTGGCAAAGCAAGAACAGCATTCCTACACTTGAAGAACATATAGAACTCAAAACAACTCTCAACCAATATCAAAGTCACAATCTTCAATGCGAACGTCAAGATAGTCTTACTGTACGGCGCTAAAACTTGGAGAACTATCACAACGATCATTAAACAAGTACATATATTTATAAACAGTTGTCTACGTAAGATACTCAATGTCCGTTGACCGGAAACCATTGGCAACACACTACTATGGAAGGGAATAAATTACCTTCCAGATGAATAGGAAATTAGGGAAAGACGCTGGAGATGGATAGGACATTCACTGAGGAAATCACCAAACTATCAAGTCATTAATAATAATAATAATAATAATAATAATAATAATAATAATAATAATAATAATAATAATGGCAGCAATAATAATAGTAATGATAATAAACTGGATCACGAAGCAAGTCATAACTTGGAATCCTTAAGGCAAAGGAAAAAGAGGCAGATCGAAAAACAAATTAAGTCGGGAACCGGAGGTAGAAATTCAAAGATGAACAACACTTGGAAACAACTAGAAAGGAGAGTTCAGGATAGAGTAGGTCGGAAGCCCATTCTCGACGAGGGGTAACAGGCCTAAGTGTTAAATCTGTCAAGCGTAAATGTACACCTTCAAGTGAGCTTTTGTTTCCGCTGAAGAGAGAAATTCATATAACATTCAAACTAAGAGATAGTAATGATATGATCAAATGTATTCATTCCTTCTTCCAAAAAATATTTTAGACACCCATGTACAATGATTATCTGTCTTATAATCAAACAACGAATTAGTTTTCAGCTACTTTATTGAATTAAAATTCATTACAATGGTGTTCTTCTTCTTCTTCATTGAATATTGAGATCTTTTTAGCTATGATAAATGCTTATTCTTGTCTGTCTATTGATAAACGCATATCTAAACGCCTGTTTAAACGCTTGACATCTAAACAGATGAAAAAAATATTAAATGAATATATTGAATATTTTTTGAAGAATACGTACAAATTTGTAAAACAGCGGCTATTTTTTCACCTAAATCATCTTCCTCAAGATATTTTCGAATTTTCTCTTGACACTTATGTTCAAACCTCTTCCAAAGTTCTTTAATTGAATTCCATAATTTGACACTTTCAATAATCTATAAATATGATTATTAATGATGATTAATTAATTAAAGATTGATCATTTTATAATTAACTTACTAGTTCCTGTTGACTCGATTTTGATCTAGAAAGAAGAAAGAAATCCGAAAGTATTTGACATTAAAGACAATGAATAATCTTTGTATACGAAATTTACTTACATTGGAAATTATTGAAAGTTATAGAGTTTAGGTTAGTTATCTCATTTTATTTTAGAATCGGTAATGGAATTGAAGAGCCATAATTTCCATTTACCATAGTGATCATTTTTATTTCCAAGCTTATTCTAATTTGTTATGTACTATATAAATAGGTTTTGACTTAATCAGTCATTTCTTTATGCTACCATAACTGATGAAGTAATTAATGTTGAATAAATTTTACTTACTCACCAAATAAATTCTGTATATAAATTATATACTCTGTTTTCTGTTTTACTGTCTAAATCTTTCCATCTGTGTTGAATATTTGGTTATCTATCTTCATGTTTTAATACCATTGTGTTTAAACTCTGCATTTTTTATAACTAAGTTTTGATTTACTATTTGATTGGTTGTGTCAGATCATTAAAAAACAAGTTAGATGGTACTGAAGTCTAACCCAACTATAAAGAGTTGTCACTAAACTTCGTTTTGACTATTCATCAATCTATAATGTTGATTCTTCTTGATATTCATTCGACTGCTGTTGTAAATTCCACAAATCTCCTAACTAGAGATGTCATTAGTTATATACTATTAATTTATTGTTCTAATTGGAGCTTATTTTGAATGATTTTAAAGATACCAGTTGTAGAGTTCAGTTGTGTTTAGTCTTTTTTTATTATTATAAGAACTAAGGCCATTGACTAATATTCTTAATGAGTTTATAAATGAGACTAATTACCGGTCAAATGCTCTGTGATTATTATTTATCTAGCTAATATCCATTTATCGTAAAATGAAACTATCTTGGAAGTTATCAGTGGTTTAAATAAATTAATCTAAAAGAATGAATCTATAACTAATATTAGATGATTTTTTATTGGATCCAACATAGCTAAGGTCCTACTCACTGCCTTCTCGTGGCGGAGGTGTTGTTCACGCAATTGAGAGGACGAGAAGTGAATGTTCGGCGCTTTAACCGGGTTGATGGACATGGAGAGTCCACCTATGGGAGTTGGAAAACCCTGATTCCAAACCAATGGTGCACATGGACTCCAGTATCCTGAAGGAACAAATGGCGTATGAACCAATCGTTGGTTACCGGCTACCATGGGAATGCATTTCCTTACGTTGCTCCACTGCCTTGTGGGTCAGACCTTCAGGTCGAAGGCTCCGGGTATGACCCCCTAAGTAAACCACCTGCTTCGGTTCGGATACCCGGGCAATATCACAGCCCTCACATAGATCAAATGAGATTTGTGTGGCACATATGTATTTGGTGTCTCCTTGTACCAATATCTATGTGTTAAAATAAATAAATAAATAATAAGGGGGATATTTAGTTTAGTTGGATGTAGATATACTTCATTTTCAATCTTCTTTAAAAACGACTAGTTTATTTATCTTATCTAATATAATGTAGTGTTTGATGAAATACTACATTGATCTTTTGTTCTTTTTTTGTTAGCAGAGGTAAAAATGATCATATTGAAAGCATTAGATCTATTCCATTTTATTCTTTGTATAAACTTTAGGTATTCTAGTAACAATGTTTATTTCCAGCGATACGAGTGACTAAAAAAAATCCGTTTGATAATTAAATCATATTATTTGGTGGCTACCAAATTTCCTGTTTATTAATGGGCTACTTTACAGATTATTTTTCCTAATATAGTTATCTTCTAATATTACTAGTTTATGATAAACCAAAAAAAGATCTAATCTTTATCTGACTAATATCAGTGAGTACGATTAAGGCCACCCACAACCTTTTCCAATGTTCTATGAGTCCGTTTTACTCAACGATTCCGGATATTATGCGCGTCATTTATTGGATGTGTGCTGAATATTAAAGTGTAACTTTCATTAAAAATTCCGTTTCCAACCATGAGTTTCTCCATATTTGTGCATTTTATCTTGAATCGTGAATCGCGCGATAATGTCTTGTTCAGCACCGACGGTTATAGATAACTCTAGATGCTTGAAATGAAATATTTAGTGAAGATTACAATCCAATATTCAGCACTCACTTCTCAAATAAACAAAAGTATAACTGAAGTTTATGAATAAAAACACTTGTTGAACACTGAGAACGTTGAGAATAGCCTCAACTGTTAGTACTGTGTGTATTTTTTTATACGTAACAATGTAGAAGAGTTAGGACTGTTCAGCTACTTTTATTTTTATTTACCAGTTCAACCGATACCACGGAACCAGTTATATTTGGCGTACAAGCCAAATGCTTAGTTGTATTTCTGAAAATCATCACTCATAGTTGGCTAATGGACAAAAGGAAATAAGTAAAAACCTGTACACTGTCCCTATTTGGTTAATAGTAGTCACAATATCTGCATAAATTTAGCTTCCGAAGTAATTTATAAAATTATCTCGAATTGACCAACTCTCTAACAATCCATCTCTTACGACAGAATTCATAGGAATATATATCAATATGAGTGGATTGGTTGAAGTTAGATATTAACACCGATGGATGTCGGCTCAGTGGTCTAGTTGGTTAAGCGCCTGGCGCGAGACTGATAGGTCCTGAGTTCGAATTTCGCGGGGTGCGGGATCGTGGATGCGCACTGCTGAGGAGTCCCGTGCTAGGACGAAACGCCCGTCCAGAGCTTCCAGGTTTTCCATGGTGGTCTAGCTTTAATTGACTCATGATTTCAACGAGTGAAATATATCAATAAGCCTAATCATTGTATACAAACCCTTAAATTACCATGATGTTCTACTTAATTATGCTTATTCTTCCTAAAAAAAATTTTTCAACTATATTCAGTTTTACGTTCTAATTTTAGTCTTAGTTACATAATGTCTTAATAATATGATTATTATACTTTCTATGCATTCATGATTAACTACTTATTATTGATTTTGTTTATCATACTAAATATCCATAGCCTATAGCTTAATTTCAATCTTACTCATTCAATTCACATTCTTATTCTTACGTAACTAGTTGAATATACAATTAATTATCTAATGTTGTTCTGGTTTTGATTACAAATACATTATGCCTTTTAATAAATTTAGATGATAATCTGATTAAATACTATAATTAGTTATTTGTTATATAGAAACCCGAGCTTCCAACTTTGGGGAATTCTGGGGAAATCCCCAAAGTCAAATGCCCTTGACCAAGGTTAAAGGGGAATTTCCCCCCAGGTCTGGGGAAATTTTGGGATCTTTGTGCCATTTCCCCAAAGTTTACTATAGCGGCTTCCCCAAAATTGGGAGCTCGGGAATGTTCTGTTCTTATTTCATTGGAAATAGAAGATTACAGAAAAAAGAAATCAGTGACTTACTCAGTTACATTGAACAGTAACAAAATAGTTAGTACAAGTAATAAGATGAGTTTCATTATTGAAATGTGAATAAAGCTTGATGGACATATACATTTATATATATCAGGTAGTTGTAACCATACGTTTGTATATGTGAACATGTAAACATTCAACATCACGAATTCATCTCAATATTGAATTATCATGAAAAAAAGTACAAACTTTGTTTATATTCACGATACCATTGATGTTGCTACTCTATTATAGTGAATATATGAACGTCATACTTGGATCTGTTCTAGATAATATGAAATTTTGTTTTTAATAAGTCATAATAACGAAGATACCTTTCAAAAACTTGGTTACATTGTCTGGTTTACATTATATCAACAAATTATAAGGATAAAGTTTGTAGTGTAAGTAAACAGAATTTACTGACTTAATATTGAATATGATAGATGAATGGAATAGTTTAGAAGTTAATCAACGGATTTTAAGGTTAGAAATAAAACATGTTTACAATTTCGGGAGAACTCATTCAGGCATATCAGTACTGCAACCAGTTTAGTCAATACACAAAGCAATTAATTGATTACAGGATATTAACAATTAGATGTACAAATTATGGAGTTAAAAGCTTGTAGCCTTATTGTGAAAATTAGGCTACTTAATTTTGTAATTCTTAAAAAGCACATGCTAATCACAAGCTTGTTTTGAAGCAACATACACAATCTGCAAACCTTACGCGTATATGATAGGATAGAACTGGATTATATCCGTAACACTTTATGGCGATAAATCTGATGCCCCATTGTACTAATATTTATATGTACAAATAGGTCAAAAATAATACTGACAGCTCACATGGACCCGAACTACCTACTGCCTCGCCAGATACACAATCATTGTATTTGCGCCATATAACCGTAGGTTGTTTATAAAAACCTGTTGCAGAGTAGTGTAGACAAGGTAAATGATAAACTGAATAACCTATCAAATGAGGTCTAACCATTCCTACATCGAAAGATATTGCAATGGTGCCTTAATAAGATTGGCTAACCGCTTATGTTGTACGGCACAAGTGAGTCTGCAGGCGGAATCAGGACGACTTCCCAACTATAAAATCAAAGTACTAGATCGACCGAAGCAGGTAGTTTACTTTACACCCACTTCTCGTCCTCTCAATTCCGTAAGCAACATCCACGCCGCTAAAAGTCAGTGAGTAGGTGTATTTCAGGAGACAGCAGACTCTACACCCTTGGCCGTACCGGGGTATTCGAAGACTAATTGAATGCTCACTACCAATCTCAGCACTGACAATGTAGTCGTAGAAGTATTATATTATACTACACTCCAAAAATTATAAACTCAAGAAGATATGGATACAAAAATGAGCACCGTACAAATGTCCATTCGCTAATATGAATACCAAACACTACATATAGTAGCACAACACTCATCGTTCAAAACCCAAAACAAATAGGCTAACCATACAGTTAAAACACAAAGACAAATCACAATGTGGTGGTCCTAAATAGGACCGTGATACGTTCTCGTGTGGACCAGTTGCAGGTCGCCAATTGTTCACATGCTAGTGAATTAACCACCGAAACCGTACAAAGTACGACCTTGGCGTTTCAAAGCGTACACCACGTCCATAGCTGTCACTGTCTTCCTCTTGGCGTGCTCTGTGTAGGTGACTGCATCACGGATCACGTTCTCCAGAAACACTTTCAGAACACCACGAGTCTCTTCGTAGATCAATCCTGAAATGCGTTTCACACCACCTCGACGAGCCAGACGACGGATTGCAGGCTTTGTGATACCCTGGATGTTGTCACGCAACACCTTGCGATGTCTCTTGGCTCCTCCTTTGCCCAAACCCTTACCACCTTTACCACGACCAGACATGATTCACAAGGATAGACAAACTGGCTTGCAGACCGACACGAGACGACCCTGTCCTAGCTACATAACTCTGCCTAGTCCACTTGAATCCTTAGAAAAATAAGCCATTATTTAACCAATCAACTTTCGTGCACTGATTACTTAGGTCAACAATTTATGTTCAAGGCCATATGACTCTAAGCCATAGGCCATAGGGATATAGATCTTTTATTAACCAATAAGAAATAGCCGAGTTTATGATGGTGCTTTGACGTGATATGCTGTGTTCGCTCTATGGATAATGCTTCGCAGTCGTTTAGTTATTCAGTAAGTATTGAGTAAGTTGGTCGTACTCCTCAAAAAATGTAATACAGATGTGTGATTAGAAGTAAATTATGTACATAAATTATTCAGTTCCGTGCTAAATTCACACTTATATGATGTTTCTGTTTGAACTATCGATTTTATTTTTCGATTCTGAGATTATCTTAATCTGAGGCCTATGTTATTACTGACTTACGTCTGTTGACTTTCTTACTGAATTTAAGTGCATTGTGTGCGTCTATTGGATCGTCGATTCCCTCCTTCCTTTATCCTTTTGTCCTCCACCTTTCTCACACTATTTATTCTTCTGCGGTATACGAAGTACCTCCTGGCAGAACTTGAACGACCACAATCATAGTTAGTGTATATTCTTGATGAAAACCTCAGAAATCACTATGGTTATTATGAGTGAACTCATCAGAAGTTCGTTATTCATGTTAAAGCCATTATATTTAACTGCATCGTAAATCGTGCAGAGCCAATGAACCTTAACTTGTTTGCCACAAAATGATCCTAGTACTTCCGTATACTTAACTTTAGTCTCGAGTTGCATTTGTATTTTTTTATCATCACAAATCATTGTTGGCTAAAGAGTAACACTAAGTCTCGTACATACCTTATATTTGCTGAAAATTTTGCACGTGAACGTTTGGAAACATTATGACCTACGTTTGTACACTATAATTTATGAGAAACTGGTGCTATTTGTGATTAGTACCTATTGAAGATTTAACGCAGGTAGCCACCAAACTGATATCTAACGTGAAGTCATCTGTTGAAACTTAACATCGGTTCGCAAACATGATAGAATTAAATTTATTATTGTTCATTCCCGTCTGAACTGGTACCTTTAAATGTGCATTAGAATTTCCTCACTGTACGAATTATTTATTTATTACAATAAATATTTCTATTGATATTACTTCAGTCTTCTATTTGTCGTCGTAAATAATCAGATTTTCAGATGTGGAAAGTGTTTAGGAGAAAGGCTACTCGTATTACGTTTATTAATCTGACGATGTCAGTTTGTTCGATGAAAAAAAAGTATCGAAAGTGGTATTAAATGATAAGCGCGTTGTGAGCAGAAGCTAATCCTCCTCTGTAGCAATTAGCTAACAATTAAGCTTTGATAATAACAAAAGTTGTTAGGAAACAGAATTTCTTTCCAGATCATCAATGTTAACTAATGGGATATTCTGAAGTTATTATTAGTTCAAAACCCAGAATCAGCTGATATTTTTGGATTGCATTTTGGAAAGTCAGAGCATTTTTCCGAAGTCACTGGGAATTATCCGTAAAAATCCTGCACCTGCAAAAAGCCTAATAAATAGTTTGGGACTTGTTATCTGTGATTCACAGCATTTTCTCAAATTGCATGAAAATGCTGGGTAAATTATTGATCGTCTTGAGAAAACCCCCATGCTTTTGGAAAATCAGATCAATTCTGGGGAAATATCCTAAACTTGGAAGAATATCAGTTGAATTTCGGGAAAAATCCCATACATGGGATGGGATTTCCACAGAATGGGTTAGTTTTGTCCCAAAGTTTGGAGCTTGTGTTTTCTCACACAATTTCCAAAAGCTAAAGTACCTAGTGCTTCCTGGAAATCATGCAACTAATGGGTCTTGTTTTCCAACATTTACAACATAATTTGAGAAATCCCCATATTGTGATTTAGAACAACACATCAGCGAACAATATGGTCTTCTATTGGATCCTCATTATGGAAAACGTGTCCTTTCTATTGTCCAGTTTTTAAAAGATGATATCTTCAGCTACTTGACTGAATACCGGGATCCTGCTCATTATATTGTCACCAGCTTATTCAGATACCATCCGTTCGTTATCGACAGTGAACATAATTAGCTTCGCCATTTCCGATGTAAATGTCATCACAATTGCATAGCGAATAAAAACTTATAGGAAACTAAAGTGGTTCAGTGTACTTCATAATCCAACTATAACTGAAGTGTCGGTCTGTTTGTGCCCAGTTTGTAGAGTATCCAGTAGGAACGCGTGTCTTCCCTCACTTCAGCATATCATTGTCCTATCGAAGTCTCTCATAATAATTCACATTCTTTTGCATTACTTTGATTGTGAAGCCACCAGTACTAAATAGTCTGGAACCACCTTTATAAAGATAAAGTCTCTACAATTTTTACGGATTTTTGTGTATAGGTTAACACACGTAGCTTGAATTTTCCTACAGAACTAATATATTTTATTGTTTATGTACTCTTATTAAAGAGAATCTTAAGATACCGACATACATATCTTAATTAATGGTCAGCAAGCTGGTTCAACTCTTTAGTATTCCTTTTGCAACTAAATGTGGAAGCGCTTATCCCTGATACTGAATAGTTTAAATATTGGTGTTGAGTTCACCATCACTAATGGATTATAAGAAAGAAATTAAATTTTGTGGATACTATTTATAGGGGTAGCTGTCACTAAATGAAATCCTAAATGTTTTCTACTTCTATGAAATTCGTGGCAACCTGGACCGATGCATATATGTGCCTGGTCCTACGTTGTAGCTGACTGACTGACTAGGACAGATTTACACTCTTGGATAATTCGATTGGCTTAAGTATAAAACTTACTTTCCAGCATTCACCCTTCAAGTGTACTGGCAGTGTCTACCAAACTGCTCGTTTTCACCTAAGATGGAAGATAATTTACAATCAGTTGTATATCATCAAAGCCATCAGAATTTGGTGGGAACATTGACCATCGGCTGACATTCTAGGTACACTTTATCCGTAGTCTTTTATGTTAGTAGCCGTAGCTACAACCTACCAATGGTATTTTCATACCATTGTAGGAGTGAATTAATAGTGGCGCTTCGAAATTGTCCCATGGTTTGTTGACAATTTGTATAACAACGCAACCTCCTTGAACAAACTTATGTTGCATGGTGTGTACTAATACTGACCGAGAACATACAGGGAGGCATATGTGTTCTAGCTCTCTATTTTGATATGTCTGTCCTTAAAGTCAACACATTTCCACCCATAAATAGTTTGTACTAAGTAATCAGTCGCCCAAAATCAATTTAGAGCTTGATGCACTTGTGTCAAACCCAAGTTATTATACCGTATAGTTAGCGTGAAATTTACGTCGATGTCGATGAGGATTTCAGATATCATAATAGCAAATATGAAAATTCAGCCGCTTATACGTTTACATCCAGAGTGTGGCTGGACGTTTGGAAAGGTTACATGGCAGAATATTCAACGAGAACGCCGAACTGTTGTAACAACATCCCAATTAGGAGTAACCAACTCATAATTTACTAAGAAAACCGAACGCATTCTAATTTTGTTTCCATTCCCGATATCTCTTGGTTTTCTGAATCACGAGAGTCCTTCAAAAACATTTCAATAATCAGGAAGATTTCAGCTAGAATACATGAAACTTACGAGCATGAAGGGATGTTCTACTATTAGACAGTAGAATATGTTTCTACATTTGTTGTGTCTTAGTGATTACCCTGAACAGGCATATAGGCTTTCTGTTCTGATTAGTTATTAGTCTGTACACTTCAGTGTGGTTAGTGAATCATGAGGTTGCAATCACACCGAGGTACTTAATTCAGTAGACGGGTGTCAGAAAACTTTTAGTCTTACCGTACTTTGGACGCCTGTATACTTAGCACTAGTTTCTAATACTGAAATGCATTGGGTCCGCTTACACTATCGAACCGCTCAGCTTTGGAGGAAATCTTACTAATTTTGGGAGATTCTGGCAAAGTTGCGGACGAAAACCGCAAAATTTCTACTGCTCTAAGGACTGTCTCCAAAAATGTTGAAATTTTGTGGAAAATCCCCTAAATCTGAAACTAGGGTTTCACCCCAATATTTTCACACAATTTATACCCCAGTTGCATAGAAATTGGAGAAGTACAATCAACTCGTTAAGAAATCTTCGAAACTTATTTTGGTTGAGACCTTAGGATTGCCACTGAGTTTGAGGAAATCTCGTAATATTCATTATGAAGTTCCCAGATTTTCCACACGTGGTGTACACCACGGAGAAATTCCCCCAATTTTAACTGGGAAGACATGCCTCCTCTCCTTATTCGCAAATGAATTCTCATCTTTTCGCAAAATTATTCGTTTATTATTTGCCTCAGGAAAATAGATGGCACGGACCTTTCTACGTAGTACCATTAGCATACCTGGCTGGAAAAATTGCTTAACAATTAAATAGCTATATGGTTTTTAAACGATAACAGCTAGACCCATAACTAAGGCTCGTTTACAATATCAATATATTGTCAAATTTTAAACATTTGTTAAACCTAAAACTACATTTTTAATTAAAATACTGACGCGTTATTAATGAAAATACATATATTTGAATCGAATCGTTTTTATACTAATATCATTTGGAAATGGGTTTTGGCTGATTTCCTAGCTCTTATCCGAGCTTACACGTAGATGTACCAACTATTGTTGTTTACCTATTGTACTCGTTTTTTCCTTGGCTTACCAAGGCTCACGCTTTGTATACTATTTGAACAGCATCCAACTGATTATATGGTGAATGCCCGGTCGCAAATGTGAACAAATACAATCCAACCGTTTTTTCAAGGAGCTTAAATTTCGCTGTCGAAGCAATATACTTATTGACGTGTTATTTCCCGATAAATTCCAAGTTGTCAGAGGTCGTTTCGCAGTTGTTGAATGTAACTTAGCAATAGACGGGAAAGTGAATACAATGCCCGATTGGAAAAATAGACATCTTTGAGTTTCAAAGCCTGAACATACTAATAGCATTACTCTGTAGCGAATACACGGAGACAGAGGTGATCAGAAACGTTCTTATCAGTCAGTCAACAACAACGTAGAACCTCGTACGTACGTACATCAGTTCAAGTTGTCATACCACATTAGCAGAGAGATATAATTGTCGATTCAAATGCCGTATTGGTAGAGGTAGTAGAAGTATAAGCAGTAATTGGGAAGATTAGGGTTTGAAGCTGATATTCAAGGAGTATAATCCAGTGGAATAATTTTAGGAAGAGAAAAAAAAACATGGAGAATTCAGAAGATTAGAATCTGGGAGAACACAAAGCCAATAACTAACCTTGTGGTCGAAATGAGTGGACAATGTTGTTAGTTAGTAAGCCACATGGGACGCAGAACCTAACAAATGTTCAAACTGGCACACTACATTAATGCTCATGAAATTCTCAAGGCAGATTGCAGAGTTGCAAGATCAATAGTAGTAGGAGACTACATGTAAAAAAGGAGGAAGTATAAGATCTCAGGAACTAAGGGAATTAGAAGAGTGGACGCACTTACGCCATTACGAACAACCCCAAGTCATGTCACCATTTTGTACAAATTTAGGGGTCCGTTAATCTAACTCCAGTTCAAAATAACGAATAAGTGTGCCATGAATGTGAATCTTCCACTTAACTCCGTATATTGAACCTAGGCTGACCCTGTTTGTGTGACGGTGGTAGTAAGCCAAATATAGATTGAACTGGGTTTATTTTATACACTTGTTTACCCAGAAGGTGTCAAAAATGAGAAGGTAAGCGCCAGCCCCATTTAATGAAGCGCGTCTCAATATTTATACCTATACACAAATAAGCTAAAGAAATGTGATGAACGGGGTAAACGGTCCACATAAAAAGTCAACAGTAAGTGAATATTTGACAGGAACAAAATCCGACTGAAGGTGAATGTATAAATCGGTCTGCTCGGAAGCCAAACTCACCTATGTAGGCTTGATATAGTACCAGACACTACAGATTAGAATTCTGGACTCCAACCTTACGGTCTTCACCCACTTGCATAGTTCGGTTGAATTCAGTCACCCCGTAGGTCGGTGTCGCGTTCTTCCTACCTACTGGTATGCCATTCAACATCAATCGAGGTGAGCGTAGTGTAGGCACACGTGGTATTGGTAAGCGGTCACAATCGATGGAGACTCACTCCCTCACCAGCCGATCTACCATATTTATCTAGTACTTTGCCCACAACCACAATGCCCACTCGATGAGCGCAATGTACCTGTAATCAAATAACTGCTATCTGCGAGCATCTTATAGTCGTGTTACGAAATCCGCCTTCCAGGTCAACCTTTAAATTTCAACCTGACATCGTCATATTCACGACATAAGACTAGAATGTTATCCTTAACATACTACATCAGTTAACAGTAAAACGCAAGGTAGGTGTCGGACTGATGCACCTTAGTAGACTCACTACCAATTCAGAAATGCAAGCCCGGTGCTACTTACTGTGAGTTTGAAATAAGCTGACGAGATGCTACTAGCTCCAGTAAGTCCAGAACTTTGACAAGACACAAGAGAGAACTCAAGTTCGCAGTATAAAATTGTATTATTATTGCAGACTTAAGCACAACATAAAATGCATAATTGCGTAGTAAATATTATTAATTGTTCACTACATTTACTAAGCACAGTACAAAAGCAAAGCCAACATTATTTAATAGTAGCCCTAAAGAAGGCTTTCGAAGCGTCCTCTACTTTAAATGAGATGGAATTCACTTTGATTCACTGGATTTGGTTATAGCTTTTGTGCCTGTAGACGTGATGTGTTTCGTTTGCCCACCTGGTAATATGGAGCGTACGGGATTTTGGTGCACTGTTTCGGTGACAGTAAGTGTTTTGCTACTGCGACAACTTGTCGGAGTTTGAACTTCTCTTCTGGTAATAGTAGTACTGTGGACATATGACTTGCTAGTGTGGTGATTAGTTGTAGTACGGACCACTGAGCTAGAAACACTCGATGTCTTACTGCAACGCGATGACCCGCCGGAACCCACTGACTTGCCTAATGCACCTTTGGATGGCATGCCTGTTAGGTAGATGCATACGTCTGTCAAACTTTTGAATTTATGTTATGGTGAACCAGTAAGAGTATAGTACGCCGACAGCCTTGAGTTAACCAATAACGAACAAGACAACGCCTCTGCATTTTGCTGAAAATTTGAGATACAGTGATGGATAACTTGTATGTTATTATCAACTGGGCAGACATCGGTTTTTAAAATACTTGAATCCAATATGGATATCTATTACGTAGCCAAAAAGTAATTTTTGAATTGTCCTTGACCTAAATTACGAATCATATCTGCGTCGACACCATATTATGCCAACGACTTCCAGCCAAATGAACCGACACGTGCTAGGCTAATATCCTATTATATATTTCAGGTAATCAGTGAAGACAAGTCGCGCAATGCGCATCTGCTGTATATTACGACTACTCCAATTTTCTAATTGTTATACGTTCTACATTAGAAAAATAAAAACACTACATTATATCCCAAGCTGGCAACTTTGGGGAAATTAACCGGATATCCGGTTAATACATACTTATTTCTTATGAAGATGATGACGGGGGCCGTGACACATCTAATGGGTCTGTCATCACATGTTCATTATGAAGGTATACCTTCATAATGGGTAAGCGAGAGCGTAGACCGGTATACCACATAAGATGCCCTTATATTACTAGTATTCCATCAGGTGTATTCGAGGTATTGCTTGTATATCACAGGGCATTCGAGTTAGCAACTGTGAGACTAGACGTAGAGATGGTGAGGACATGAACTACGCATGTCCGTCCACCGACTACCATGATGTTTGGCATAAGTTGTAAGAAGGATAGGGGCGCACCGACTTGTTTCATTTGGTAATGTTTACAAGGACCCGAGTCTGTAGATTTTTTACAAGGAAAAAGATCCCGTACTGTTTTAAAGTGTCACTTATTTTATGTGGACTAGATGCCAAGAAGCTCGTATTTGACAGATTTCTTTCAACGGTTAACTTGGTAAATCAAAATAGGATCAGATTTACAAATTTATTCAGGAACAATTTCGTTAATAAAGGGATATCAGATAAGCATTTACAACTTTCACATTGATAATGCCAAGCTGTAGTCTGCTATTTTTTCTGAAACTAAAATGGACGTTCGGCCTGCTTTTTAGAAACTTCAGAGATGATTAGTACTGTTTTCCGTAAATAGTTCCATAGTTACATGATTCTGGCGAGAAACAGTTCGCATGTTCGGTGTGGGTTCACTCCTTTTTCGTTCTAAATAAACAACTATTATTGGCTTTAGTCAACAATATGGACTTATCAGCGAACATTTCAACAACTTTCTCTTACTGTTCTTATACCACAAAAAAGAAAACTAATCAGTGCTCGTATACATACTTGTGAAGTAAGTAAATAAATAAATAAAATGTTCTTTTAAACTAAGAATTTACACAACTGTAATTTACCAACATCATGTATATGAGTCAAAGATTAGGTCAGTCCTTACAACCTATGCAAAGCATTACACCTGTTACCCCTCGTCGACGAATATAGGCAGCCCGCTGACATTCTCCGTCCCACTCTGTCCTGAACAGTCCTTTTCATGTCTGCTCCTAATCCCTGATGCGGTGTGTTCTTTGGCCTTCCTATTTTCCTTTAGGATTCGTGATGCAGTTTGATGATTTCCTCAATGTACTCGGTTACCATAAAAAAATTACAATAGATGATGAAACGCTACCGCGTGAAGCGGAAAAGCCGAAAAGGTAAATTGTTCAACTTACTAAATCACCTTTTTGTTAGGGCTGCAAAACGAAAATTTAACGATTATCTATGCACATTTGAAGAATTAGAGGTTGAAGCTGGGTTCGCCCCCATCGACTTTCCAGTTTTCAACGTTTTGACAGGAAAATGTTTGCCTATAGCGAAGTAGGTACCTATTTAATATATGCTCATAAAGTAGTTCATCGAAAACAGAGGTTTTCTCACCACTGCTTCCATGTACATCAGCGGAAGTTAATAAACCGTAAGTTGGAGTTAATGTAAACATGATAAGAAAAGGTTGTACAATGATGACAGTAAAACATTGAAAATGATTCTGAAAGCAGTCACTGAACTGTCTAGCAAGATAGATAAACTGATCGCTTACAATGAACGCTCATTCATGGGTGTAAAGGACAGGTGTACCGACCAAGTAGACAATTCAACTATTGCTTTCCGATTAAGAACAAATGAGGAGTTGCTTTAGATGAGTTAAAGTTCCGTGATCAGTTCGTAAGTTGTAACAGGTGTTTGAACAAAGTATAGGTGGCAAGATTGTACGAGTTTATATGTGATGACCCTCGTAAACCAGCAAAAGCCTGTCTAAGTTATCTGTTGTCGCCGGAACTGGAGAACACGTACACTTTACACGGAACGAAGAGTAAAATTGGTATTAGTAAGTACAAATTTTACCGGACGATTAGAAGTAAGACCGCATTACAGTATTAATATATTTGTAGGAGTCTTTTGTCCCCGATTCTGAAGTGCTAAATATCCTGAAAAAGAAGCAGAGAACGCCATGGATGTTGCAAGCCAGGGTTTCTCGCACGACGCCAAAGATAAAGTTCAAAAGCATGGATCGCGATCCGAAGAAACGGCAAGCTTAATGCACTTCAGAAGTCTGATTAAAAACGGTTTTTGTCGACATTTTAGTCTATGATAAACATTTACAGTAAAACAATTATTTCTTGTCCATCTTCTTTTCAGCTGGCTTCGCAAGTTTTAACAGACGTAACTGTAAGTTTTTTTGCTCGCATTATTAACAACATTGTTACGTCATCGAGGTTTTACATATCATGACACTTGCTTGTAAACTAAAGAATATTTTTTATTTCCGTAGAACATTGTGAATGACAGTTCAACGTCTACGTAACGTGCTTACGTTACTAAGTAATGAGGAAAAGATGTATTAATGAATTATTTGTAATTTTATAAACCGTAATAAACATTTCAATGTGTCACGAATCAGTCTTTTAATTGCAGCGATAGATCGATTAGCGTTAAGTTTCTTTGGCACTGCGTAATTGACTAGAAATAATGTAATATCGCAAGAAAAACTGTAGGTACTTATTCTCGCTTGGCTTTTCCATGATATCTGTAGAAATTTGTTGCGTTAAAAAGAGTTTGCAAAAGCTATCATAGGATTATGGTGAAATTTTGAGAAAAAACGCGAAATCCAGGGGACATTTAGGGGAAAAACGGTAAATTTCGGGGTTTTATTAATAAATATAGGCCGATCGGCTTTGGGGAAATTGATTTCCCCAAAGTGTAATTAGATTCTGGGGAAATTTCGGGGTTTTTGTGCCATTTTCCCAAAACGTCCTATAGCGGCTTCCCCGAAATTTCCCCAAAATTGGGATATTGGGTTATGTCGTTCTGCGTTTCAAACGTTGCTGAATTGTCTGCTTTTCGTCTAAATACACGCCGATTTATATAATTTGGTTCCGACTTTCAAAACACCTTTGGCATAACCCCAAGCGTCTCCTGTGTTCACCATTATTTCCATAACACACCACACGAAAACTGCAATCGACTTTGAAAGTGGTACCTTTAGAGAAATTTATTGGAAAGGAAAGAACGTCATATGCTTTTCGGTCAACAGACATTCAATATCCTGCGTAGACAAGTGTTTATAAATACATGTACTTGTTTGATGATGGTTTTGATAGTTCTTTAAGTTTTAGCTCCGTACAGCAGAATTGTCTTGGTTTTCAGTTTCAGTTTGGGAAGGACAGGAAGCCTGATGACCTGTGTTAGTCCTGGCAATGGTGGTCCCTCAGTTGATCCGACTTTCTTTTGAAGGAATCGACGGATAGAGCCTCAACCACGTGCTGAGGTAATGAGTTCCACTCGTTGATGATTCGATGGGAAAGTCGATAGTCAGCTGACAAGTAATTTGTTCTTGGCTTGTGAACTTTTTTGGAGTGTCCTCCTAAATTCTCTGTTTTGGAAGACAAGAAAAATGAAGGCTTATCAGGTGCAAATTTGGAACTAAGCAATTTGAAAACTGTAATCAAGTCGCCTCTAGTTCTGCGATATGACAACGGGAAAAGGTTCAGCTTAGCCAGTCGAGCTTCATACGGAAGCTTCGCTGTTCTGGGAATCAGCTTAGTTGCCGTTCTCTGAACCTTTTCCAGAAGCTCACTGTCTTTTTTAAGCAGGAGCTGGCCGCTTGTATGCAGTACTCAAATTTAGGGCGTACGAACACTGTATACAAAGTCGAAAACGTCTTAGCGTCGACATGACTAAAAGCCCTACTTATTGACCATAACGTTCTAAAACCTTTGGCGGCTATTGCACGGCAGTGTGCAGTAGTCTTTAAGTCTTGGTTAACGATGACTCCTAAGTCATTATATGTCTGGACGACAGGTAGCTCAGTGTTATTCATCGTGTTTGTATCTGTACCTTGATGACCGATATGCATCACAATACACTCGGAAGTATTTATCGGCAACTGCCAGGTTTGAGACCATTCAGATAATTTCTTCAGGTCATTTTGGAGGTCTAAGCTATCACCCTCACATCGTATCGTTTTCCATATCTTGACATCGTCAGCATATAGCAAGACCGATGATGATAGGAGACAAGGAAGGTCATTTACATACAAGAGGAATAGCACTGGCCCCAAAATTGTACCCTGGGGCACTCCACTAAGCACAGTTCCCCAGCTAGATAACTTTGAGTTCACCCGAACTCCTTATTGACGCCCAACTAAGAAGTCTTTTATCCACATAAATAGATTGCCTCCAATCCCGACATTTCTTGACTTATATAACGGCCGGTTGTGTGGAACCTTGTCAAAAGCTTTACTGAAATCAATGAAGGCTACGTCTACAGGTAACTTTTGGTCCTTAAGAGCGCACCAGCTTTCACGAGCCACTAATAAGTTAGTGAGACAAGAATAACCTATTCTGAAACCGTGCTGCTTCTCCGAAAGGATCCGGTTTTTATCGAGATACTTAAACAGTTCCTTCCGAATAATCTTTTCTAAGAT